CGGTCGCGGTATTAAAAAAACAGGGAACCTAACTGAGGAAAAGCTATCAGAATATTGAGAGTCCTGGCGGAAAAATGAAGAGAGCAGAAGCAAATTCACTGGATAACCAGTGCTTGCTGCCACACAGGCAAGATATACATGCCGAGTAGGAATGGCACAGATGACTCAATATACCTGTGTTTCTTTGCGCGTACCTCAGTGTTGCTAAAATCTTTGGAGTCGCACCCTTGTGTGATTCAGATGATCTCTTCCAGCTTGCCAGTAAATCGGATCTATCAATACTTCATGATTGATTCCTAATATGCTGTCTGGTAATTCATTTCAGCGAGTACATTAACATTCCCTTTAGTTTAAAAACTGGCCCCCGTCACCTCCCTCATTGAGTAATTTCCCGTTTTGTTGTTACTGGTCACAGCAATTCCTAATTTGATTCTGGGAAATACCCTGGTGTCACCCATAACCTTTTCTGAAAAAGATTTTACAAAAGTCCTCCTTAATAATACCAGCTCAGGACAATAGCAATTCTCCCTAAATGGATTTCATAGCTTTGCGATTCCTAGTATTCTTTCATACTGGGAATACTTTTCTTTTATAAATCAGCCTGGTTTAAATGAAAATTTAAATCTTGTTCTTCGAATCCCCTCATTGCTGCCCCGATATACTGGCATTGATATACCAGTTTTGTTCTATTTTATTGTTTCCAAGCGTTTCGACGCATCTGATACGTTGACAGATAGGATGACTCGTTATGAAGAGCACTTCTTGCATCACAAAGTCATGAAAGCGTTGTCGAATAGCCCAGGCGTGGCCCGAATTTGAACGCCGTTCTGTATGCACATCCGCATACAGATACCTTCCCAACTCGTTACAGGGAAATGGACAGTGTGTTGATGCCGCAGACAACTTGATTTGGCGAAAGGAACTCTGGCTTATTCTATGCGTGATATGCTGCAGTCTCCGATACCAACAACAGCCAGCTGTTACTCCACTTACAAGGTAGACAAAATTCTTGATCACTTCCAACTGACGACAAACTAGGGCGATTGCAAGAAAAGGTCTCTGGTGGTAGTAAACAAGATGTGCAAAGCGTATGTCAGATCGAGCTACCTCAATAACCAAGCTGTTCAGCACTGTTCACATCGCGTGCACATTTTGGCCGGTATTATCAGAATACTCCAGTCCCGTAAGTCGATTCACTAAAAGGAATTCTATGCTATGGGAAATTTGAATAGAAAAAAGCTAAAGGGAATTGAGGCTGTCGGATACCCGTGAAAAATCCCATTAAAGACAATTAACTACGACGAAAGAAAGCAAGAGCCGACTATAAGAAATTAAACACCTTGTTTACCTGAACGTCCAAAGGTCGAGTTGGATCTGGTGGACTTTCTCCGGTTGTTTCATATACGAGGTTAGCCAGTGCTTCTCGAGCGGCATCGGTCAAATTCGCTCCTAGTCCACGAATTAGACCAACTGTGAGCTTAGCTGTCGTCACAGCTCCAACCAGATGCGACAGGCCGTTGAATACTGTCGCTGCAGGACTCGTTTCAACCACGAATTCTTTCTGTGGGAGAAATAAAGATGTGAAGGTCAGCAGCATACGAGTTTAGTGTAGTATAATCAACAATATATATAGTTTTATTTTCAGTGGTCCTACGCGGGAAAAATTTATAGAATTTTCACTGAGTAATTGTAATCACGAGGCAAGTCGACGTTTGTTAGAGAGTTTCACCCGAAAAAACTTAGTAACAAGAAATTGGCGTAAGCAAAATGGGGTGATCAGAGATGATGCTAGCCAGGGAGCTAATCAATACAGTCTCAAAAGGACCACTAAGGAGCCAATATTTTGAACCAATCGAATTCGTCATAGCCCGTGCTGAAATACTGAGACTGATAGCACAAGAACGTTAGCTGGTTGACACAGTCTGAATCAACAATCTTTTCTTGTACATGTTATTTGGTCTGTTAGATTTCTTCCAGTGAACCTTCCCTCCAATTCCCTGATCTTGTTGCGTCTCGGTTTCGGGAAATTTCGGTAGGTGGTTGAGAGTCCGATTACGATTACTGATCTTTACATATTCCAACTAGAATACAGACGTCGCGTGGGCAACAGACGGTTATGGCACAGCACTTGGTGTGAACGGCCGCTCCGGGGTCAAAAAATCAGCCTAACGTCCAAATACGACAGGTTATGGTGAGCTATAAAAAAAGATTTGGTAAAATTTACATCTCTCGTTAGGGACCAAAACCTCTGCAGTTGACTGGAAACACTGAAACGCATGACAGAAAACCACGCAGCAACGACGTTCTCTGATGTACTCGCCACCCACCTTCTGCCTGGACAGGTACAATTTGTATCCACCTGTGCACATTGTGGGCTTGGCATTTAGCAGCCAAATTCACTTCGCTGTAATTCGCTCTATGTGAAGACAATTATGACGATGACGTTAACTTGACGAGAGCGTAAAGCGACCTTGGCAACAATTTATTCTTCAAGTCCCCGGATTATACCTTGAATAATTTATATGGAATAAATATACCTCAACCGAGCTGCATGAGCATCTAACTGAAAATATCCTCTTATGAAAATGACGTTTGAACAGGACACGGAATTTGATTGTTCTTCATCTTCATGTTATTCCGATGATCGCCTGTTAAACTGAGGTTACACACGTCGAACATATATAAAATGGCGATTACACCAAGCAAACGTCAACATTTAGCAAGAATGATACTACTTTTTTGTATAATCCACAGAGGCCACTTGTCTCACCTTTTTATAGACCCAGTCCAGACAATGATAAAATGCCGGATTGAGTAGCACTTCCAATTTTCCCCGATCCGACTCCGGTTGTTGGGCCAACCAAGCGCCAACCAGAGCTTTCGGTTCGGTTGCCTCATCGCTCACATAGACCACACCCATACGAGATACGGTTGCTGGACTGGCCTGTGTAAGCTCGTGCGTCTCAAACAAGAAATTCACATTGAGTCCAAATTGGATGCGTTCGCCACTAGGTAATGTGAGCAGTCTGTTATCGTCCAATACCGAATTCAAAGATTCCACCCACTCCGGATCGATGTCACCATCGCACACGATCCAACAAAGTTGCCCTGTGTGAAAATGGACGGATTTTATGAGCTAGATAAGAAATGAAGATACCCGTAAATCAGTACTGTAGTATGGATAAGCAGAAACAACCTATACGAAACACCGCACAACAACCTAAAGGATTAGCATACTAAATCCGGAATTCTCCAAATCGGGATCCGAATGCTTGCGGGCGTGCAGTGAGTACTCCGGTGATGATATCTCCGCTGAATTGTCAATGGAATGTGACAAGTCGAGTCTGCAATGGAAATCCTTCTCCAGAAACCAGACCCATCTTCAGAATTATGCTCCTCACAAACACCTCCAGCAATGAATTATAGTCGCACTGGGTACCACGAACATTTTCAAACGCGACTAAAAGAAACAGCGAACTTCGCTCATACAACCGATTGAAGTGAGTTTGGCTTGACTAAACGCTGCAGTACGTTAGTAGTGATAGATGGAACTTGAGCTAGAGACCCTATCTTTGAAGAAAAGAGCAATCCTCCTAGCTGGAGAGGACAGGTCCAGACAACCGGTGGTGCTTCCGGGATTCTTTTCTAGTTTATTGATATACTACTGATATATATATGCACAGACTAGAAGTATTGAATGCTTAATGCTCTAAATCGGCTCTTTCAAAACTGTAACAGCTGTGCCACATCGCTGATCCTAGAGAAGCGTATTTGAGCATTCGTTAATAAGCACCCCTTATTGTTATTTTGGACGCGTCCTGCATCAATCAGCTGTCGGTCTCATCGAAATAATCATACCTAGCCCTTAGTTCAGCTTGAAAACCCTGACAGTACTCAGGTTGCGTCAATCGGTGGTCAAAATTCAATCTTCACGTCTCCTGCCTAAAATTCCTACGACAAAACCAGTGTTGAATTTTCGCCCGATCTAAAAATTGCATGGTATTTTTCTTAGTTTGAATGAGTACAAGCAAAATTTGTCAGCAATCATTATCTGGACCACAAATTGTTTTCCCGAACATAGGTCTCTTTTCCCGAATTGAATGCTTCCAAGCTTACCAGTATCCTCTGTGACCACAGCTCGAGCACTGTGAGTGAGCACTCCGTCAGTCCATTCACGCGTGTCTGAATCAATCCGACCGAGGAGTTGTACACGAAGCATAGCCTTCGGATTGAACACATGGTACCGAACCGGATGCCCGACTTTAGCTAAAGCCAAACGCAACAAAGTAATCACGGTTGATTTTCCACAACCAGATGGACCAACCAGAACAACACCCATTCGCTGCACCGTCTGTTCGTATACTTCGAGAGCTTTACGGACCTAGAAAAATCAGAAGGGGCGCATGTGGAACTCAGATTGATTTGAGGCAAAGGTCTACAGCTGATTGGAAAATATTGTCTTTTGTGCTGTAAGCTCGTTGAATTCTGAATACCCTTGTGCAGTCGTCCGCGGACAAGCTTCAAATGGAATATGTGTATCCGTTCTGTATACGAGATAATTTAACTCAGACATCGACTTTAGTTCCATGTATCCCTATTATAAATGCTTTAAATCTACAGACATAAAACTAAGTTTGACTCCTTAAGATGAGTGACTAAACTCGGTAGACGAATACATGCGACTCGTTGGACTCATTTTACTACACTTGATCTAATTACACTCATTCCATGGTGAATACGTCTAGCGAATAACTGGACCAAAAATAAGCACTCACTTGAGCGTCAACCAGAACCATTTGATGTTCTTGAACCACTGTATGCAATGCCTCGGTGAGTCGAGCTATTTCATCTTCCACTTCGTGGGATTCGTGGAGTTTGGGGTCGGGAAACACATCCCGTAGTAATGCTTCAAATCGTATGGCATCTGCACTGGTCAGTTTGGCCAATGTGTTAGTACGTGCGGCGCGAATGATCAGCACGGTCTCCTCACACTCTCTGTCCTCGCACTGCGCGTCTGCGGCCCGATGTCTTAATCGTGATTGCAACAACGATCCGGCACAATGCAACACTGTTTTGAGAGCCCGAAGTCCCCAGTCATAATGCTGTTGCACTGACAGAAGTTGCCTGTATGTATAGGTGGTGATAATGGTTTGAATTCAATTGAATACGATGATGATGGATGATCTATTATTAGATGTATGAGCCCATTGTTTACATCACACTAATCTCTAAATAACCACATGTGATACACAAATCCTCAAATTAACCATGCGACAACAATAAAGACAACACACTCTGACCAAATTCAAAAGCTTGATAGTATTCGTGTTATCGAACCTCAACGGCCGGTTTACCTGACAGTCCTTACTTTTACTTAGGTTTCTCGATATGATATAAATGGATCAATAAAAACTAGTGAATTTAGTTACTCAAACGATGGAGACATTGAACCTTTGAACCAATGCTTTGGTTAGTTTCGAAATCAAAGGAAGGATCAAAGTTGGATATCATGTGAAATGATTGTAGCTTTGGATGCAACAACAACAACTACAAATATCTCAATTTAGATGAGTTAACCCGCTACCAACATAGGTTATTAGATACGGGAAAACAATGGCTCACACCTCCGGAAGTCTCAGGAGTGGGTGTCTCGTGTCGCGGCTGGTCACCCATTTCAGGAACTGCGACATAGCATGTTAGCCAGTAGTAGATGCTATTGAGTGGTATGAAAAATCGGTTGGGAGTTTTGTGACAAAATAAACCGGATCGATGAAAAGTACATTAATTCCGTTACTTTTACCCAATGTTTATAATTAAATACTGTTTATTCATAACAGAATTTAGATATACCATCCTGCATATATATATATATACCAAACAAATTGAAATCTTTCATAACGCCATCAGCATTCAGTATTTAGCCCGTTTTCAGTTTCAAGTTTCCAGTTATCCCGATACTACCCACCGTTCTTCAAAGAACTTCATACGAACCAAATTAGCACATATTGATTCCAGATATTCCTCTATTCCTTTGCAATTTTAGGTTAACCACGGAATTGAGTATATAGCGTTCACCATAATATACAACTGTTTAGCTATGCTAATCACATCAATCATTGCCCATTCGAACTAAGTGAGAACACGGGACAAAAAATCGCATTCGAAGGAAATCAAGTCATCTAAAATAAATGAAATATCCGTTACTCAGTATAGTCTGTATATTGACTTCTTGCCGATATTCTGAAGTGGTATATATATATATATATGCATTTCTTACACAAACACAGACCTTCGCATGTAGTTTTACACAGAGACTAATTCAATCCGTACACTGTGAGTGTGAATTTTGTGGCTGCTATTCATAAAACTTTTGATCTTCGAACAGTGGAGTACCCCTCATTGTGCGGCATATTCTTCAACGAAACCACTTCTTATCAGAGAGATCAAATGCGCTTTGAGACGAAATTTCAAAATGAATCTATTACGCCTCACAGGCTAATTAAAGCGGGAAACGTCAAAGGTGTTGGGGGAGGAAAAATTACCGGATCCCTCACCGCTTTGCTTCCGTAAGATTTAAATTCATGTGCAGTAACCATTCTGCTGAGTGATCCCAGTACTTCTTCTTCGTAAACTTGGCGAGCGATGTGCCCTAAATGTTTTCATTCGGCTGCATGCTACCTTCTGCATACCACTGATCACTCAACTTCTTGTAGTGTATAAGCAGTGGAGTCAGCATTGTCATCGTGTAGTATGACATCGTCTTGGCAGTAGCAGCAGAAAATTTGTTCCACAGTATTTTCTTACCCGCAAGTGTCCTTAGTTCACTCGAACCATTAGCTCAGCAGAATCTCCAAATCACCACAAAGCTCCTACTGTTGTTCCTCTGGTTGAACATAATTTGGTTCGCTTGAATTGCCTGACTATAGTCCCACAGAGCACATTTCAGATGCATGTCTGAACGGGTTCGAAAACACTGGAACGATGAAGTCGCTTAACAGTGCAGTGGTTTCACATGTCACTGAAACAACTAATCGCACGGTGAACGCGGTTTAATTAATATAAAAGCAGGTTCGCCGTCGGATGTTACAGCAGAATTTGTGGGAATTTGTCTACAACCCACGACCACTGTGTGCCCCAAAACAATTTCTACTAGCATTCAAGCACCCACTTCATTCAATACACATACACACACACAAACACGGAGTCAGCTCGATGCTCGGACTAGTGAACAAAGCACTATGTAACCATATGGTGAATTTCTTCGTGTACAGAACAAATGAAACATGGTCTGAAACGTTGGGAAGCACTGCACAGTGGTATCAACCTGGTTGCGTCCAACCAGCAGTGAGAACCTATCGTCTCAATTGAGCGAGGTGAGTCCCACAACTAGCTTGAAAAGATGGCTTGTTCCATAAAGCGTGTAGGCAAAATAAAAAACCTTTAGTAGCTGCGGATTACGGATCACGAATCACGGTTGCAACTAAAGCACAGTATCACAGTAGCAATCGTACGCTAGATTCTCCCGTCATCGAGACGCAGGAAATCCTAAGATGGATTGAATGTTTTTAACGAAGAAGTGGCGAATAGGAATGAAACATTTTTTTCGTTGATTGCGCCAACATTGACACTTTCCCCATCAATGGGAGTTTGCGAGCCGTAATACCACCGATCTGTACAGACGTTGGGTGAATTTTGGCTTCGAGGCAGATCGACCGTAAAACTTCACCAGAAATGATAGATTAAATGCTTTTTGTGTTCAAAATGAATTTGTGCTGTGCGCCAGACTGTAATATCACATCTTTATATACAAATTGGGCACACTGACTCTCGGTTCGTAATGAAAACATTGGGCTTGTGTTTTTCTCCACCGATGACTGTGTTAAGTTACAGCCTGGTCGTTTACACACTCTTTCCGTATGTGGCCAATTGTCCCGCACCCATCGCACTGAGCGCAAGTGGTAAGCTCCACACGATAGACATAGGTCGATTGGTTTCTCGGTGCCGGAATTATCACCTTGTGGCTTGGATACATGTTTGGCCACTGGAGGTTAGACTGATTTTTGACTGTGCCATTGGAATAGAGTGACCGCTTCACTGGAAGAGGCTTGCATTAGATTATCTTGTTGTTCACAGATTTTGCATGCCTCTGCGAACGTCAAGTCATTCATTTCCTGCAATTTCCGTTGCAGTGTCGTGTTTCCAAGTCTATGGTTGACCGTAAGAGCTGAGTGCAGTATGTGTGATTGTGAAATCTAAAGGATCGTTAGTTCTCATCAATGAATATCAATTATCACATATTAGTGCAGTTCAGTTCAGTTTTCACAACCAATAATCATGCACTTTCGTGCGCCGGTTTTGGTTGATGTCTTTTGGTGAGCCATTTGGATAAAAGAGCAGAATGGAGAATGAAATGTTGAAAGCAAATTTAAGCGGAAGATGGGGAATTCATATAGAATGGTGAATAATGAGCGGATGCACGAGCGCCACTGTTTGCGATACCCAGGCATATCGCTCAGTGTCTCTAACCATCGTTGACCATGATCTCGGGGTCCCCATCCAGGAAGCCTAACGGGGCCAATGTGAGCCAGTCTCCTGGTTAGGGTTTTCATACCCTCATTCCAGGTCTTAGATTGACCACTCTTGATCGTTTTCCAACCGCTACGTGTCTCAGTAAACATCGCTCGCCGTGGCAACCGATCTGGTAACACGCGTAACACATGCCCCAAACAACGTAATCTATAGAGGTCAATCACTTGCTCTAGTGGACAACCACGACTACCTAAAACTCTGCGCCTAACCTCGGCATTACTCGTCCAGCTACCCCACCAGTTTCGTGTAATGCGATGTAGACAGCGGTGTTCGAACACCGACAGTCTATCTTTATCCTGTTTCCTTAATGGCAAAGTTTCTGCACCGTATAACAGAACTGGCCGAACTGCGGCAGCATACACTCAACCCTTCACACACAGCCGGATGTCGCGACGGTTCCACAGATGCCTTAAATACCAAATGCTAAATGAGCCTTCGGTATGCAAACTAACACCTTATCTGCGATGCGTGGGATATAGCTGCCCAGATAGCAAAACTTGTCCACTTCCTCTACTACCTCCTCAGTCAGGTTGATCAGGTTGATCTAATTGCTTTCTCCCAATATAGGAACCGCCGCTTTTGTGACCTTTTTCCTGTCCCTCGGTGACGACATATCCTAGTATATAATTGCTAGTGCAATTCTGTGCTTCAGTTAAGACCGTAATTCGTGATCCGTAATTCGCATCTACTTGGATTACTGCACACTTATTCAGAAGAAATCGTCATGATTTATCAACTGGTTTGAGACCTCGAGTACAAGCGGACTACTGCGAGACATATATTCTGTATAAGAGTAACCCTCCTTTTTTAACGTTATTTCTCCCATCTTTATTGTGATGTACAGAAAAAGAAACACCCACTTGAATTCGTATAGGCGTTTGCAAGTAAGTGAACAGGTACGTTGGTTAGGGGTCAGGTGTGCCACCTTCGCTTTAGGATGTCCTTGATCACTTCACGTCTTTCAACGGCCTGGCCAATAGCTTAGGCATTGCAACGATGAGCCTTTGAATCAACCGATTTTTCCAAGTGATGGAACACGAATACGCTACCGTGACGATTATGGATTTGTAAGCGGTAGGCTGGATTGTTATAATGACCTTAGATTCCATTGATAACGCCGGTTACAGTACATGGCCGACCAGAATACGTGTCGCACACGATACACCACTAAACCCTGTCCTATAACTGAACTGGTGACCGTATACGGTCGATATCAACCCACCCCGAACTCCATAATATTCTGTCCTACAGATTTAATTAGGGTTCTATATTAAATTCACTGAATTGGGCTTTTGCCATTGGGCTTTTGCCTACGCACTCACGAATTCATGGTTGATCACTAGCCTAATTGAACCCTATGGTCATCGTAAAAGTCAGTGTTACTGATCATGTATCTACATTAGTCGTTGTAATTTACCCGTTCTCCGTTACTTGAACAAGTCGGTTGACCCAGAGGTGCATCGTTTTGCTGCGCAAGATAGTGTCCACGTAGTAGCAAGACATCAAGCCACCAGAACCACAACACGCGTTTAAGTTCTAACTTACGACAGAACTACTTGTATTTTTCTCTCCCCCCATTGTTTGACTGACTCCATTTCATTTCGTTATGTCGGTGACATGAGTAACAGGTAATAGGATAAAAATCCTCAATCTGTGAAACATTGTTAATAACTGCGAGTTACTGCACCAGTTCATTAGTATAGTGCAATTGGTTGTTCCAGTATTAAACCATAATTTTGACTTCAGACACCTAAATCTCCCTCTGACCTTAGTTGCGATCTGATTGGATCATTTTCCGCGAGTTGAGCACCTTGCACTCTCAACCTAAAACGAAACTACAGTGCGATTGCCCCACCCTCTCACATTGTCTTGTCACTCTCACCCCTAACCCCTCAGAATAAACTCCCTCTGACCCTCTCCGTGATCTGATTGGATCATTTTCCCTATTTTCGCGAACTCGAATCCCTCAACATGACGCGAGACCGCCTGATCACCAGTTCATAATGTTTATGTTGCTTTTGTTTTCACCTCAATACCATTTTAAGTTAGATTTGAGACAAGGGACCTGGCGCTTGCTCAGCTAGCCCGAGCGAGAAACCACTCCTTGTTCACAGCCGTGAGTCTCAGGCAGACCCAGTGAACTTTGACTGTGTAGCAGGAGT